CCCTCTCATGGGTCGCCAAAAGCTAGGTCTCAAAAGGTGTAGCTCTCTCACAAGCAGTTCTCCAACTCTGTCTTTGCTCTCGCGCAAACAGCCTACCTTTCCCTATAGGTAATGGTAACGGTAACGGTAACGTTGTAACAGACGCGGGATATAACGGGCGTTACATAACAATAACAGAAACTGGAGTCATAAATTTTTATTTTCTATTCACAACTCACCCTAAAAGTTGAATTTATGTTTGTTTTAATTTCAAAATTGCTCAAATATATGTTTTTAGTGGTTTATAGTTTATTTTATTGTGTCATTTAAGGTAATTTAGATAAAAAAATAAGTTTAACTTATAGCATAGTTTAAACATGATATAGTTTTATAATAATTTTAAGCCAAGAAAAAAGAAAATGTTGACATAATAAAAATAGAAAAAAAATTTGTTAATCCATTGGATCAGCCTAAACCCACCTTCCAAGAGAACCGAAGTCCTAGCCCATACTTTTTTACAAAAGAACTGTTGAACAATAGAGAAACACTTGTATAGGTTTCTTCTCCAAATGTCCAACTATCACTCAAATTANAGAACTGTTGAACAATAGAGAAACACTTGTATAGGTTTCTTCTCCAAATGTCCAATTATCACTCAAATTAGGGCAGGTGGCTGGCCCATAATTTCACACCAAAACCCATATCTGTAGTGGTGTTTTGCTTGTTTTATTCATTCTTCTCTTTCTCAGTGTCTATACCCATTTTTCAGCCCCAATAAGCTAGAGCGAACTGTAGAGAAACCATCTTCCTTGTCTATAAACTCCATGAAATAATGGGGTTTTGTGGCCAATGCATGGTGCCTATGGCAAAGAGACTTCAACATGCCAGCTAGAGAGATTTTTGCTGTCAAAGAAGAGTGTGTTACCGATATTTATTGGTGAACTTTCATTGATTTTGTGAGATTTTTTTAACCAAACTAATTGATTTGGTTGAAAATCATGGCTGCTTGCAATTTTGGTTATTTTTTTTGTAGAATTGTTTTGATTTTTGAGAAAAATCAGGAAAAAGGCAAAAATTGACATGGATCAACCCGTTATAACCTAATAACGGCTATTACTTATGTGAATTTCATTAAGTCTGTAATATCGGCCCGTAACGGGAACGCAGCCTTCCGATTCCATTACGTAACGAGCGTTACGTTACATAACGGCCGTTTTTCAAAACTATACTTGACGGGCATAATTATCTTGGTTTCATTCAACTACATTGTTTATTAGGAGTAAGAACAGATGGGCATACTTGACTTATAAAATTGATGATCCTCTTTATGATAAATGGTAGACTAAGAATTCCACAATTAAGTCATTGTTATCCGGCTCCAAGAAACAAAAAATAAGTAATGCCTATTTGTTCTTACACACTGCCAAGGAGGTTTGGAAGATAACGNCCTCTTTATGATAAATGGTAGACTAAGAATTCCACAATTAAGTCATTGTTATCCGGCTCCAAGAAACAAAAAATAAGTAATGGCTATTTGTTCTTACACACTGCCAAGGACGTTCTAAGACCAACTCAAAAATGGAACATGAAGCAAATTTATGAACTAAAATGTCGAGTTCAGAATACTCAGCTGAAAATTCCTCCTTGAAAACCTATTTTAATACTTTGCATAGGCTATGTCAAGAGTTGGAACACTATAAGACCAAGTCTACCAATTCTACACATGATCTACAAACCTTAAATTAGTGGTTGAATTCGAGTCAAAAATAGGTGGACCCACTAAACCCGTTAAATAAATGGGTTGATATGAATTCAACTAAACACAACACAAACCCACTAAATGTGTGGCTTATATGATACACGAATCCGACACAACACAAACCTAACCATACACGACTATAAAATGGAAGATATGGATTAAGCAATTAAGAGTTTAGAGAGGATATGAGATGGTCAATGGTTTTAAGATATGCAAAATGTCGGGGTTTGCCTTAGATTTTGCACTAGCGTATGATTTTGTGCTAGTAGACACTCATATTAAAAAGAGAGATCAACTATTAATAAGCTTCAAAAGTGAATTACATAGAAGTTGAATAGATTTTTTTTCTAAATAGAAAAATATATCATTTATCATATGACAACTGTAAAACTATTCCATAAAAAAAAAAAAACTTGACCACGAAACATAGGAAAATGGTATTAGATACATCTATTTCAAATCATTTGAGACCAAAAAAGGCGGTTAAAAATCCCAAAACTAGGAGGTGGCACTTGAAAGGAGAAAAAATAATTTTGTTTGAGAACAAAATGCCAATAGAAGTGAAATGCAATTTAAAGGATGAACTAGCAGATACAGAATACGATGGTTGAACATATGGAAAAATATCACCAGAGTTTCTTGTAGAATTAAATGGTAAGGCACTATTTATTAAAGTAACTTGGTGATGGAATAACAAGACACAAACCATAGTAAAACAAGTAATGTGTTGTTTGACATGGCAAAAAACTAGAAATGAAGAAAGTTGAAATAATATAAACTTGTAAATAAAAAGTTATAAAAGCTATGTACAAAGCTATTTTCTTTAATGGAAGTTAAATGCAAGAAAGGAGAGAAAATCATAAAAAGATTTACTAAATTAAGAGACAGAGGTAGGATTGATCAATGAAATCATAAATCTATCACGCCAGCTAATGATATGGTATTGATCGATGAAAGTAAAGTAGAAATTAACAATAAATTAGGTGTTATGAGAGAAGTTTTAAAATCAAAAGATTCAAAATAATTAGAAGTAAAGTTGAATATAAAGAATGTAATATTAGTACAAGTAGAAATTTAACTGGGAGCTAATACAAATCAAAAGATATGAAAGAGTGAACATTTTAGATATTTGGGATCACTTATTCAAAGGGGGTAAGAGATTTAAGACGACGCTAATCATAGAATTCAAATTAAATGGACTAACTTAAGGATGCATCAGATGTTATTTGACTGACATATACTTTGTCCAGATCTTTGTTTGGTACAACCACAAAGGACAAAAGTTAAGAATGAATATACTCATGAAATGGTAGAGATAGAACCAATATAAGGCAAGATACAAGAGAATCAACTTAGATGGTTTGTCCAAATTTATAGAGGACCTATAATTATACTGAATGAAAAATGATATGATACCCAATCTGCGGGGTATAACATTACCAATTGGTTTTGTATTGAATACTCTAACATAGTATTAGAGCTGAACCTTGGCTGGTCAATGGGTCAAATCACTTATCCATTTGAATTTTTCAGTATGTATGGTTATTTGTTTGTTTGTTGACCCCACGTGCGAGCCGGATCCCACATGAGGAAGGGTGTTAATAGAGCTTGTATCCCACGTCGAATGCTTGGTTACTTTATATACTTAAACGGGTCAGTCCACTCATTACCAATTGGTTTTGGGTTGGATAATCTAACAAGATAAACTGAAATTAACAGTGAGTAAGATAGTAAAAAATAAAAAAATATATGATGGCTTGCAGTTCCACAGAGATATGGTCCTTAATAGATCACAATGGCAGAATAATGCTTCATAGAGTCAACCCATAATAGTTGAGGCAAGACACAATNATAGATCACAATGGCAGAATAATGCTTCATAGAGTCAACCCATAATAGTTGAGGCAAGACACAATTGGGTTGAGTGAATGTGCTTTGCCATTATCCTTTGCAATAACTTGTTTGTTAGCTTTCAACATTTAATTCTCAAGAAATTTTTTATCGCTAGAAATAATTATTAATCAGCTAAATATTCCATCTCTAAGTTCATAATAACTAATTAAATGTTCCCTCTTTACATCAAGAATTTCTTGCCATTGGAAGAATTCAAATTCCAGTTTCATACTAGCAAAAACAGTTCTGTTCTCTTGAGAAGATGGAGGACATCAGTGATCCATATCGCCATATCTCATAACAACAGCCTAGTTTCTAATCGGAATAGGAATCAAGAAAATTTGAAATTAAGCACTCATGCATTCTGTGTATGAGAAATAATCATGAAAATTCGAAATTAAGAACTCGTGCATTCAATGTGTATGGGAAATTCTAAGTAATCCAACCACTAGAAAACTGAGAAAATCTGGTGTTAAACAAAATATGTGACTGAAAACCCTTGAAAATCAGCGGAATGATCATTAGTGCTAAACTTCCCATTCAGAATTTCACTTTTGAACTTTATTTGATCATTTTAGATTCATCTATGATACACTCTTGTACCTCAATCTTTTCCAAACGGAGACTTTGCTTATCAAACAAAAGCACTCATCTTTATTTATGTTTTCTAATGAGAAAGATAATAGAAGTGGACCCCAAGGCTCGTGCCAAGGCTCAAGAGGCCTCTAACAAAACAATCTCTATGTAATTGTTTAAACATCAGCTAGAGGTGCATACACAGAGTGAAAGAGAAAAAAGTTACCTTCCATAGCCAAGTCCTTCAAGAATAAGTGAAACAAACTCCCAAAACTTGATTGGCTCCATATTAGTTACAAAGTATTGCCTGTGAAACCAAAATTTGAATGCACATTGTCAATGGAAAATCACAGAAAGAGCTTAGATAATGGCATATTCAGTCATGATTCCTAGCTTAATGTTCCAAATGCATGGAATGGTTTGAAGCTTCCGAATTGTAAAAATATTGCAGGAAGAAGTATATCCAAGGACAAGAGAATATCCCTGATGTGTCTCATAATTTATCTGTACAGCTGGAAGGTGTTAACTCTAAATTAGCTGCTTATCTCCTGACAAACTATTTTTGCACTATTCATAAATTTCAGCAAAGAACTCTGGGAAGTGGGTCATAGATGTCTTAGAGCATTGCCGTTTAAATTTAGTAACTAGAACAAATGTGCAGGCATCACAAGTAAGCCAGAAAAAAATTTCAGGCCAAAAGGCAACTGTGCAGTCATCAGCTAGAAAGAAAGCATGTATATTTACATACATGCAGAACTGCTTAAGCATTATTTCACACTTGAGCATTATTTCCTTATTTGTAGGCAAAAAAGCAGAGTTGAGGCAACAGGAACAACTGCAATATCAGCTCAAGATTAACTCCGTAAACAGCCTCGTATACGCATTCAGATAAGAAATAAGGATGCAACTATAACTGAGTTCTGTCAAATATGCAAACTACATTAAAAACTTGAGAGCAAACACAACATTACCTGCCCCGCAGCTCTCCCTGCAACTGTCCCTTCTGATGCTAGAGCTCTTTCAGCACATATATGAGCATATGCCACATTTTCAACATAAGTGAAATCATACATGCTATTCCCATCGCCAATAATGAACTGGCGGTTTTAGAACAGAACATACAACAATTAACATAAAAACAGTAAAGTATGCCACAAACAATATTAATTCAAACCAAACAGGTAGAAAACAAGTGACACACTCCTATCTTAACTAATCCACAACCTCCAGTCCATATTCTCAAGGTATACATATGATCAGCCCGTAACACATGCAAGGCACTAAATTGGGGGATAATAAACAAAAGCTGACCAAGGAAATTAAAGGAGATTCCAGCTGCCCATTTATGGCCAAAATTTATTCGCAAGAAAAAGCGAATGACTGAGCTGTGGTGTCAGTCTATATGCTAACAAACCAAGAGGCTGTAATTCAACGCAGAAAGAATTCTGGCCAGGAATTATGACATTACAACTTCAATTAAAGTAGTGTCACCTACATTTAGTTATTTTTGCAGTCACTGGAACATTGCCCAGACTGACCAGGAAAGTATTATTCCCTTGTTAATGGTTAAGGTACTATGCCGATGTTGTTGAAACAAATCCTCACTTGTGTAAAAGATCTGGGTAAAGGACCTGGTTGAATGTTGGTTTTCCTATCAACAATAGTAAGTTTTAATCCCCTATTTTTAAGAGTTAAAGCTTTTGTTACAATGAAGTAGGAAGAAGACTGAATGGTTAATAATAAAAGCAGGGGCGTAGAGAACAGCTCACAGATAGATAAGACATACATTGCGTGATCTGTCAAACCACGACATATATAAAGCATGCAAAATATCAAAATCATTCTTTATCCATTTTATTGATTTTGTAGACATCAAACCCAATAGATGAATCACAGAGGGAAGGGAAAAAAAAGGATGAGGCATTGAATTACCTTGGATTTTCCTGCCCTCGCTGCAGCAACTAAAGATGGAACAAGTAACTTATCACCAGGACCAAAAATGCTGCTAGGACGAATGCAGCATGTTAGAAGCCCATTAGTACCATTTGACTTGATAACTAGTGCCTCTCCTTCAGCTTTAGTTGTTGAATAGAAATCATTGTGCTGAAACAGTTGAAGACGGGCATTGTTGATATTAGGAACTTTATCAAACAGATTTAAAAAGACAGACTGGTTGTTGAATGAAAGTGAGACTCAATGCTTTATTTATAGGGATCAGGACCTTAGTTAACCCGATATATACATCAAGAAGCAAGGCAAAAAAGCACCAGAAGCACAAGGCAGACATAAAGTTTGTTCTCGATGAATAGATTGTTCGATAATGAACAGACTAGCAATAACCCCATTCCTGAAGACATTTGCAATATCAAAAATCTAGTATTGATTGTGTAATATTTATATTTTAGATAGTAATTTATTTTTCTTTTCTTTTTGAGTTATGCAATTTAAAATTAACATGAACAACAAGAAAATAAGAGAGAAAATAAAAATGTAGGTGTGGATTAGTGGGGTTGTCAGACATTGGGGGTGTGTTGGTTGAGTTGTTTCATATTGGGAGCTGTGCAAACAAGATGATGCGTTTTAGCAGAAAAAAAAATTTGTGATGAATTTTGTACCCTTTGATCAAAGTAGATTAATCTTGACCGTTGGGATGACATTGTATCAATTTTGACCATTGTGCTTTTATAACTTAATATTTCAACTTTCTAGATGTAATAGATATTGAAATTGTGTTGGTAAGTTGTTGAGCTTGCTTCAAAGAATAAATAGAAATCTAAAAACCTGCTATTCCAAGTTTCCAACAAATGATAGAAGTTCAACCACAAAGAGTCTTCTATCAAAGTATTTACTGAAAAAACAATACTACAAGAGGTAATAACAGTCGAGGACTAAAATTGCGGTAGACAATTTTTGAGGGGGAGGGGAAAAGTGGTGCAGTCAATACCGTGGCAGGATATGGCAACGATTCATCCCCATTAAATATTCCATGAACACCATCAAGTACCACACTAGGAGAGCTTGTGTAGATTAGTCTCTTTACTTTTAACTCAACACAAGCATCAATTACATTCTTGGTCCCTGAAGGTCATAGTTGAAATAAAATGTAAAAAAGCCATTTACTGGAAGAAAATAAAAAGGAAGGACGTTCCAAAACATGAAAATCATCTGTGTATAACTGAAGGATGAAGCTGGTAGCTGTTGATGGATGAATCTGGAGCTGCCATGTGAAAGACAACCTAAGCTGCAGAAGGGGAGTCATTTGCAAAACAAGGTTAGGAAATGCAACACATTACTGAATGAAGAAAGTAAAATTTACATCCGTCCAANTCAGCTCCTTTACAAGCTGCAGAAGGGGAGTCATTTGCAAAACAAGGTTAGGAAATGCAACACATTACTGAATGAAGAAAGTAAAATTTACATCCGTCCAACGGTACAAGATTTTCAAAACATCTAAGCCCGCACTTTAATAGANCTGAATGAAGAAAGTAAAATTTACATCCGTCCAACGGTACAAGATTTTCAAAACATCTAAGCCCGCACTTTAATAGATAAAATTAATTACATATGGAGAACAAGTTGAGTAAATAAATCAATGATATGATTTTAACGAATGTCACCTTTGAGAACTTGGGACTTATCTCGAAGATCGGTGGATACATATTGAGCACGGCCTGATCTTATAGCATCACCAAGGGTTCCCTTCTCCTCGTCAGGGTCCAGCTTGATAGAGGGGCCCAAGTCAGCGACACGAACTGAAAACATGTCGTAATGGATGAGCATTTGCACCAGATGCCGTGCAGCAAAGCTTCTCCCCCCTGTCACAACACACCATCTCTCCTGCCCACGCATTTTTCAAATCGTGCCTGTGTAGAAAAAGAGCAAATTAATGTAAACGTTTCATATATATGAATATATATACTGGTCATTCAGGCGCGACAAAATATAAAATTCCAACGTTGATTTCATTATATTAATTTTTNTACTGGTCATTCAGGCGCGACAAAATATAAAATTCCAACGTTGATTTCATTATATTAATTTTTAAAAAAAATATTAACTATAAATTAATCAAATATTATATAATTAAATATATAATAAAAATAAGTGATTTGATATTTTTAGCGAATAAATATATAAATGATTAAATATATAACAGAAATAAGTGATGTGATATGACGTTTGAGTCTGACAAAGAGATGATGGATGAAGTAAGTGATCCGTAATAATTTTGAGGAAGAAAATATGACTGAAATAAAATTCAAATACATTTCTGTTTTATTATATAAATATTTATATATAAATGTACTTTACGCCAACTATTTTAACATATTTTTTTCATAAATAAATCAAAAATTATTTGTCAACCTTTTAACTGACCATTAGATAACTTTACCTCAATCATTTCATTTGATGTTCCATTACGGTCATTACATAATTTTACCACTATCATTTCATTTGATGTTCTTGAAAGAAACTTTATCTCTTATACACAATGTGAGGCTTATTATCATTGCAGTTTTGTGCAAATAATATTCTCATTAGACCATAATTGGAAGCTTCGTGCAGCTAATCCTCGTTATAGGTTGGCCAAAGCAAAAGAAAAAGAGGCATGTCACAATTGTCAACCAAAAAGATCCTGACCTTGGTGGGGCTAGGGTCCAAAGGTATAAGAATATTTTTCATTTAATTAATCAATAAATTTACATTTATTTCCAACATTACTATAAGATCCATAAATAGGCTCTATTTTTTTTTTATTAATTATTCAAATTGTATTTGTCATTGAGTACGTACCAAATGATTTTATTAAAAGTTTCAATTATACTACTCATAAAAGAGTTTAGGAAAAACAATTCATTACTATTGACACTACAAGAAAAAGGATCTTTAAAGGTCTTTGCTTCCAACATTGGGACAAATGCCGAGTATTTCAGGCATTTTATTGAAAACTTTGAGACCCATCCTTTTCTATCTAGCATTTATTTACTTTTAAAGTCATTCTGAAAATTCTTTTCTTGCAATGGAACTTCAATTTTCCATCAACATGAACAGATATAATTTATATTCAAAAGTATATGAATAATTGATTCTTCTTAGAGAAACCTCAAAAAACCTATATGTATCAATAATCGCTAATGCATGTCAACGCAGTGAGTGATCTAGTCATAAAAGTTGCCTTAAGCACTAAAATCGACTATTATGCTACTGAAAAATTTTATCCTTTGAGAGAGATATATACAATTGATAAGTTACCCCTAGGTATCAAAAATTTCCTAACAAAATCTATAAAAATATTTAGGAGAAAGTGTCTCAAAAAGCAAAAAATCCTCAATAAGCAACCTCTTTCAAAAGTCATCTCAAATTAAGTACAACATCCAAAGAGAAGGGGTGGGGTGCAATATTTTGCCACTGTAGGACTGCATAGATGTTTAATGTTCGAAGAGTTTTATCAGCACTTCTAACAGTGATCTCACTTTTGCTTAATATATATACCATTATCTGAAAATGTGTCATTGATCTACATCTCAACAAAATGTTTGTGTGTGTGAGTGAGAGAGATAGAGAGGGAGTGCTGAATTGTCTAAGCGTTGTAAAATATGCAGTCCTAAGCTTGCAATGACCAATCATACCCTGAAGATACCATTACAGATGCATTCTTACTAAACTTTTAATAATCAAGACTCACAACAGATGAATAGCAATCCAAATGTCACACTATATATATGTTGTTAGTATTAAAGAATTTAATAATGAAAGCTACATGAACTCACAAAAATATATTTTTGGTCCACACGTATTAATACTTTGTTCTCTACAAGAAATTAAGAAGCACATGAAACTTTAGTTCTATTTTCTCTATGGGAATACATATAGTCACACTATTTTACCACACAACATTCTTCTATCAAATTATATAAATTGCACTTGCTTCTTAAGCTATATACAAAAGATAACAAAAAACTAATAATGTTATTATTGATTCTCTGATTAAAAAAATAATTGGACAATGATATCAATCAAAAAAACTATGGACAAATAGTGTGAGAAATTTTAGTTAGAAAACACTAAAAATAAGCAAACAATACCAACCAAAAAGGGGGGTTAATTATTGAAACGTCTAAGCATGTGTAATTCTAAAACTCGCATTCAATTTAAATTGAGGAATCCAACCAACAAAACCATTGAATCAATTAAATTAGTTACTCAAGGAAAATTCTAGCTGAGCTGTAAACCCTTATGTAATTATGTGAATTATATTACATTATGATCTACTGTGTTTATATAGAATGAATTACAGATAGATAAACTAGTTATGTGGTGATTGTAGAAATAATATAGATTTGTTAAGAAGATCGAAGATTCAGGATGGTCACTAATTAGAGAAATGGATTTAATTAAGTTTTAAGCATATTTAGAGTGAAATAACATAAAAAAATAGATCCAAAAGGTAGAGAAACCTTAGAATAAGTGGTACGAGGTGTATTGAAAGTTTAGAAGTATTCCAGAGTTGAAATGCATTTTGGAGAAAATTTGGGTATAAGAAAATTTGACACTAATTTAGTATTTGGACCACAACTTTCTAACATGATGTCCGATTGATATGAAATTTTTATAGTAGAAACTAGACTACCAGAACTAAAAAAGTGTAGTTCATAAAAATTTTGTGAATCGATTTTTAAATAAGTCAAAACCTATTAGGAAGTACTGTCACCCACATCTGGACAGAAAAAGACACATTTGGATAGATGCATTTGGTAGAATGTTTGGCAAAAAGGCATGCATTTGGATGCTTAAAAACGTGTGTCTGGATGCACCAAATAGAGAGTTGCCTGTTCATGACTTGTTTTGGGTGTTTTCTCTGATATTCACATTATAAAGGTGACACCCCAATTCCCGGGGGTCTCGTTTAATTCATTGATCACCCATCAACCAGCGAAATAACTCTTGATACCACTTAACCCGATAACACGTAATGATACCCCCTTTATCGGGGTTCATACTTTAACAAAATTTTTGGCAGATTCTCCTTTATACGGGGAGTTCTACCCAACACACACAACCAGTGCAATCCTAACCATTGACCACATAGGGTCTCAACCATCAATATAGCATTGAATACCAACATCCACGATATTTATTTACTCACAAAAGAATAACATCCATCAGAGTCTCATTACATGCCTTTAACAAAATACCAGTTTTGTTCTTAAAATATACAAGGTCAAATGTAAATATATATAAGGGACAACAAAATATAACTCAGGACCCAATCAATCTTAGCACTCAAAAACAGAATTCTATGCCCATTTAAAACTTAATTCACTCAAGTGCCAATTAATTTACCAAATTAATGTGAAAACCACCCAAAATTTGACCCAAAGACCCAACCCATTCAATTGAAGAATTATTTCTAAACCCTTAATGTTCAATCAACACCAGTAAGAAGATTTTCATTCAAGAAATTTTATTGAGCATATGAGGAGTGTAAAATTTCAAAAATGTAAAAGGCATGAAAGAGACAATCACAACCATAACACAAGCAATTTTACATGGAAACCCTTTCAGGAAAAACCACAAGATTGTAGTCCAGTTAATCCAATCCACTAGCTTGAAATCAGGATTACAAACCCTAAATTCTTATACCTCAACCAATACCAACTCTTTCTCGCATGATTCTTCCCTCCGAAGTCCACCACAAACTCTTGATGATTAACTTCAATAGGCAACGAACCGAACTCCACAATCTACCCTAGAAATCTTCCTCATTTCCTGATCCCCCCTTGTCATATTCCTTTAGCCATTTCATCAAAACCCTAGGCTAGGCCCCCTCAACCAGATTTAACCCCCTACTTCCACATCTTATTTCTCTCTCTGCAAACTTTCTTTTTCCATGTTTTCTGAACCTACACACTATATGCATAGTCCTCTATGAAACCCTATAATTTGTATGCTTCAAATTAACCTTAAACCCTATAAAAAATAAGGTCAAAGTTAACCAAAAAAAAAAAATATTTTCAAAATGATTTGCAACTTCCATTTTCACCCTCTAAATAACACTCAAANAAAATAAGGTCAAAGTTAACCAAAAAAAAATAATATTTTCAAAATGATTTGCAACTTCCATTTTCACCCTCTAAATAACACTCAAATCCATTTCTGAGGCCATAATCAAGTTCCTAGGGTCCAATTTAGCTAGAGATACCTCTCATTCAAAATCCAAAATCTAAACCATGGACATCAAATTCTCCTTGGCCGAAATTTCATTACCACCGTTACACTGCCACCGGCCACAATAAGCCACCAAACCACTCCTTGACGCCCCTAGAACACAACCCCATAAATCAATTAAACCAAAACACTTTAAATCCACAAACCCATTTCATGAAAACCTAAAATCCAAAACTTTCAAATGCAAATTCATGTAACTATAGCACATAAAACCAAATTCTAAAGACACCACAAGATTTCTTGCATCCATATTAGTCTAGTAATATACCTCTTGGTGTTCAAAGGTCACTCGGCACAAACCTAAAAATTCAAAGTGAAGCTCTCTCTCTCTCCCTCCTTCCTACAAATTTTCTTCTTACTTTTATACTTCAAACCAGCTGAATCACTCCATCCAAGAAGATCTGGGGAAAGCATGCAACCATGACACCTCCCCTAACCATCTAAAAGTAGCTTGAAGCTTCTAGGGCCTTTATGGTAAATTCTCAAGTTTGACTGAATTTCAAAAAATATGTTTAAAATAGATATATATATTTTTTTAAAAATTACAAACATGTTAAATAAGTCACTATAAATTTATCACTTAAATTTTTAGAGCTCAAATTGACCTCTGATTTGTTTCG